CCTCATTTTACCCATGGGGGGCTGAGGTGCTGAGAGATTAAGTGACTTGCCCAAGGAAGTCTATGACACAGCTGGAAATTCAACCCATCTTGCCTGAGCCCGAGCCTAGTGCCTTCACTACAAGACCATCCTTCTCTCATTTTGCACATGCTAATAAATGTCCATCCTGTGTTGTGTCATGGAGCTGTCACAAACTAAGAAGGGCTGGACTTAGCCAGACTTCTAAGGAACACCGAGATAGTGCCAGCAGTAGCACTGGTAATTCCCTCTCGCCCTGACGTCCTGATCACTTGCAGTCATTGGGGTTTTAAGAGAGAGAAGGAATCATGGCACTATAGGGCTGGCCTGGACCTTGAGAAATCATCACGACTGTGGTCCAGTGATTAGGACTTGGGAGACTCAGGTTCAGTTCCCTGCTCTGCCACAGACTGCCTGTGTCAACTTCTATAAGTCACTTAGCCTCAGTTTGCCATCCCTTCCCCTTCTGAGCTCTGGCCCTGCATCTCACTGCTACTGTAAGATGGGACTAATAGCACTGCCCTACCTCACAGGGGTGTTGGGAAGAGAAGTATGTTAAAGGCGGTGAAGCACTTTGAGATCTACTGCTGAAAAGCAATTCAAAAGAGCTAGGTATTATTGTTTGTCTAGAACAGGTGAGCTGGTGGATCATGTTAGCTAACTCAATCTAACTAGTACCTTTACCGGTCTAGTCAAATAAATTTAAATTAATGGAGATATCCTATCTCCTAGAACTGGAAGGGACCTTGAAAGGTCATCAAGACCAGTCCCCTGCCTTCACTAGCAGGACCAAGTACTGATTTTTTTGCCCCAACTGGCCCCTTCAAGGATTGAACTCACAACCCTGGGTTTAGCAGGCCAATGCTCAAACCACCCCTTCTGTTCAAGATGAAGGTGGTGCTATAGCACATGCAAGCTGGTCAAGCTAGGCTGTAGCTCAGTTTCCCATTGTGTAAGACAAGTCTAGCAATAAGATCACTTCTGCAAGGGGTGCTGTGAGGCAGTACTTCTTTAATTGTCCAGTGCTTTCAGATGCTAGGAATGAAAGTGCCAGAGAATTATTAAATTCCCTCTCCACTTGCAGGCAGCTATAGTATTCTTCACTTCCTGGCCTATCTGGCTGCGCAGTGTTTCAATGTGCTATTAAGCTGGTGCTGTTTCCCCCCCAGTGATAAGTAAAGGGAGTTCTCTCTAGCCATTAATGAGCTCATGGGGATGTTGTGAGGTTTGAGTCATTAGTGCCAGATTCTGCCCCCCTTTCTCACTGAAACCAGTGGACCCACATGTGAAGTAAGGGCCTATGCAGTGTGAGTAAGGGGAGCAGAGTCCAGCCCACAATATTTGTATGCACCCACCTCTGTAGTGCCCAAGTACTAATACCTGAGATGAGGTGCTTTGCATCCCAACCTAGGAGTGAAAGGCTCAGCAACCCATTCCACAATGCCCCCAAGCTGTTCCATTTCCCAGACTGGAGTGGGTAACCCGAAGGTGAAAGGCTGTCCATATTTAGCGTACCCATCCTCAGAGCGTGTGTGTCTGTGAACGTGTGTGTGTTTATGAATGCAATGCCTTGATTTGCCATGCCAGGGAAGTGTAATTGAATATTTATGTGAACCGAGACTGTGTGCGGGTGTGCCTGAGCGACAGCCTGTCTCCTAGACATTTCTCTCATACCACTCGTGTTGTCTATTACTTCATCTTGCAGAAAGTCAAGTGGGTTTGCAGTCCACCTGCCGTGACTGGGAAGATCCCTGTTCACCACCCCCTCACCCAAGAAGACACACCCCACACCCGAGATCCAAACCACACAAACAGGCTAGGGGACAAGGAAGAGGTAGTCAGCTTCGGGAATCTGCCTGCTCTCACAACCAAGAGCTCAGCCCTCTGTGTGTGTGTGTGTGTGTGTGTAGTGGGTGGAGGGTGTAAGTAAGTAGTGGTGTTGGAGTCGCCCCCTGCTGGCACTCTCTCTGGACTGCCAGCTCCTTCACAATCCTCCAAACCCTGCACACTCCCTTACACACACACACACACACACACACACACACACACACACACACACACACAC